TAACTTCAAAGAGGAAGAATGAAAATCTAAGCTAATTTTATTTTTTTTATAAAATTTTATCTCATATGAAAGAACATGAATTTAGAATATTCGGAACTCATGACAGAAGAGGAGAACGAACAGCATGTAAAAGATTATGCAAAATTTATGAAGACATACAAAGCATTTAAACAATATCTAAATGCTTCTAAAGATTATGCAAAATTTCTGAAGGTATATAAAGCTTATGAAAAAGCGTATGAAAAGTTTATACATTGGGGAATTGTTGTAAAATATCCATATGAATACTAACCAAAAATATATTTTTGCTTAAATAGCTTCAGGGTCTATTTCTTCAACCATTTCACTTCCTTCGTCAATGTCAATTGAAGCTTCTTCAACCTTTGGTAAGAATTTCTGTATAACATCTTTGTTCGTTATTGTCTTCAGAGATGAAGGATAATATTTCACATTTGTTTCACCCTTCTTATATTCTTTCTGTTCGGAAAGATTCATAGCAATACTGAAGAAGTCAATGTTAGAGTTCTTTATGACAGTATAATGAGTATCTTTGACATTCACGAAGAAACTCTTTTGTTTCAAAACTACTGCTAACTCTTGTGAAGTATAACGTTTGCGGTCAATGACGATAGCTAATGGTCTGACATACTGACCAACTTAGATTCTTTCACAAACTTCTTGTTAAAGATAACATTAACGTTTGAAGCATTATTGAACTCATTCTTGATGGCAGTAGCGAGAGCATTGTATGAAAAGAACTTGCAATCTTGCATGTGTTTCATTAAATAAAAATATTAAATTATTTTGAAAAATAACTTAAAAAAAATCTAATCTAATTTTTTCAAAAATATTTTTTTATTTCCTACTAAAGATGTATCGGAAGTTGTCTAAGTTAGAACACTCGGAAATAAAACAACTTCTTACAGAAGCTAATATAGATGTTGCAAAGCATTACGCAACAAACAAAAAAGCACTCACTGACTTCATTAAAGACTATAATGGTGCAATAAGTTATGATAGAATTCATGATTACATTAATAACAAAACATTTCCTTTAAATGACGTTGCTATTGACTTATATCATAGACGTTCAATACCTCATGAAGTAAGAAGAGAAATGTTTGACATAACAAATGCGAACGTTGGTCATACTCGTAAAGCTCTTTCACATGATGTTCGTCAAGAAATGTTTGACATAACAAATGCGAACGTTGGTGAAACAAGAAGAAGAGACGACACACTGAAACAACAGAGAAGAGAGATGTTTAAGAGCGCTATAGAACAAGTTCGCAAAGCTAACGATGTCATTCGTTCCATTGACGACAAACCAAAAGAAGGTGAGAGATGGTTAAAGAAAGATGAAGAGAATAGGAAGAGAAATGTGAAGTCAGGCAATAGACTCATTGACTTTAACATCGAAGCTTTAGATGAACCAAACAGAGACTACTTACACAAACATTTCGGTAAGGTTTTCATGAGACTCTTAGAGATTAAAATAAACTCACAACAGAGATGGATGGTATGTTATAAACTTGGTGGAAAGTATGAATGTTCTACGTTAAACCTCAATAATATTGGAACATTACTACATCAGCTCTTGAAGGAGAACTTTATATCAGAGATAGAAGCAAATGCTGCAGGTATTGTTGAAATGCACTATGACTTCTTCTTGACAAACATAAAGAATCTTACCGAAATAAAGATGTATGATTTAACAGAATATGAAGGCTTAACGATGTCAGATGTAAAGAAAGGCAAACCAAAAAAGAGACCATATAGAGATGAAAGCACACTGACAAATGACCAGAAAGCCATTTTGGAAGCTCTTAAGCAAACAGGAAACCCAGCACTTATAGAAAGCTTTTGGAAAGATAATGGTGAAAAGAAGTTTTATAAGAAGAGAAGCGGTCAGTTCTGGAAGTATCTTTGCACATTACCTATAAATCTTGAACGCTACCAAATCTTCAATGAACTGAACAAAAGAACTGCAACACTTATGACAGAAGACAATTGTTTCGTTTATGCTTGCATTCAGGCTGGAGTAGATGAGAACTATTGACCACATGAGAGAAGTCATTCGTGTTAGAGACTTTCCTCAAAGTAAAGTACAAGAAATTTCTGACGCAACAGGTATAGCATTTAATGTTACCATTGGTTATTTCAATGACTCAAGACATAATGAAATAAAGAGATACATACCAAAAGAATGTGAAACTGTTCGAACTATTGACTTACTTCTTGTTGAAGACCACTACATGCTAAACGAAAGATTACCAATGACAACATATTTCATTCGCAACTATATAGAAATTCTTAAAGTTGTGGTGGAATGAACATTGAGAAACAAATGAAGATTTATACAAAGAGAGAAGATAAATATGTAATTCGTTATGATAGAACAACACCGCTATGGGATGTTATGAAAACATTGTGGGAGTGCAAATATTTCGAACCTATTTCTTATGGAGAACTTTTCACATATACGACTGATTTATATAAACAGAACCCTGCACCATTTAAAGATTTGACATATGCTCCAAAGTATTGTGTACAACTGAAGAAGAAAGCAGAGTCAAAAGAAGTAAATAAAAATAAGTGCAAGTTCATTCCTGAGCACGTTTTCTTTGCTGACTTTGAGTGCAGTACAGACGGCTTTCATAAAGCTTTTAACATATGTTATGACAGTGAAGATGGTTCAGTGAGTGAAAGCATTTGGGGTCAGAACTGTGCAACAGAATTTTTGGAACGACTTCCTGACAAGAGTTTAATATATTTCCATAACCTCAGTTATGATATAAACTTCATCTTAAGACATATGACAGAAGTGAAAGGAACTCCCATCATTAAAGGTTCACGAACAATGCAAATAACTGGCTTATATAAAGGAAGGGCAATTATTATAAAAGACTCTTACAGTGTTATAAATAAGAAGCTTAAACTATTTCCTGCTATGTTTAACTTACAAACAGGACCGAAAGAAGTATTTCCATACAACTACTACAGCAGTGTTTTGTTAGCAAATGACAACAGAACTGGTGTCATTTCTGAAGCATGTAAGTTTATCCGGATGCAGATACATTCATGAAGAACATAGATTCCATCAAAGGTTGCAGAATAGATGAGAACCACTTCGACTTAGAAAAGTATAGCACATTTTATTGCAAACAAGATGTAAGAATTTTAAGAGAAGGTTTTGTTAAGTTCCGCAATGACATATTGAAAGAATTTGATTTAAACGTTTATGACTACGTTAGTATTTGTTCTATTGCTAACAAATTGTTTGAGAACAGAGTGTACTTCCCGAATGGAAATTTATATGACCTCTCAAATAAACCAAGAGAATTTATTTCGAGATGCATTCAAGGTGGAAGATGTATGTTGTCAGATAACATTAAACAAAAGAGCGAAAAGAAACTCATTGCTGATTTCGACGCTGTTTCATTATATCCATCCGCTATAGCAAGACTTTATACTTTAGAAGGTATTCCAAAGGTTATGAAGAAAGAAATGTTAAGCACAGAGTATCTCATGAGACATTTATTTGATGACGACCAAAAGGAACCCATTGGTGAAAAGTTTATGTCTGGCTTCTTTGTTCTCATTAAGATAACAGAGATTGGAATACATAGACACTTTCCTTTAATAGTTTGTGACCCTGAACTAAATCCAGAACTTAATGTTCCGAAGTTCAAACACTTGCTGTTTAATGTATGTTGACCATATAACATTACAAGACCTCATAAAATATCAAGGTGTCAAATGTGAAGTGTTGCAAGGATACTATTACGATGGAAACAGAGATATTAGAATAAGAGATGAAGTAAAGAAGTTGTTTGAGTTAAGGTTAAAGTATAAGAAAGAAGGAAATCCTTTGCAAGAAAATTAAAGCTCATTCTGAACAGTATTTATGGCAAAACTATTCTATCTCCTATTGAGTCAAAATAACCATAGTAAATGACAAAGATGCTATAAGATATGCCATCAGAAACTACAACCATATAGTGAAGTTCGAAGGTTTGGATGGTTCAGATAAAACTATTTTCAAGCTAACGAAAAGTATTTGCAGACACTTTAACTTCTTCCACTTGGTGTTAATATTCTGTCTATGTCGAAGAGAATAATGTGTGAAGTATTCTGTACTGCTGAGGACTTAGGAATGGACATCTTTATAGCGATACCGACAGTATGCATCTCTACAATGAAGATATCCCTCGTTTAGCTAAGAGTTTGAGAAACGTTATGGAAGAGTTCTCATTGGTAAAAACCTTGGTCAATTTCATAGCGACTTTGCAGAAATCACACCTGGAAAACAAAGTTTAGCATACAAGTCAATATTTTGTGGAAAGAAGACTTACATAGACTTACTCACGAATGATTTAAATGAAGTTGCATTTCACTGCAGAATGAAAGGCGTGAAGCAAGATGTTATTGCTTTAACCGCTAATGAAATGTTTCCTGACTCTGTTCAGTGTTTCTATGATGAAGATAAAGGTTTAATGGTTCCGCAAGGAAAATTTGACAAAGACTCTGAGTTCAGTTTAATGAAACTTTACAAAGCACTTTATGACGGTCAAGAGATTGGATTTGACTTATGTAAGTCTGCTACACCTGCATTTGACGAGAAGTTTAACTTCTCAATAACGACTAAAACAAGCTTTATTCGTAAGTTGAAGTTCTGAGGTCATTTATTTTTGTCAGCAATGAGGTCATTCGTGATAAAAATAAGCCGCTAGCGGCAAGGGCGAAGCCCATGAGGTCATTTACAATACTGCGATGGTAGAGTTTAAGAGTTGTGCTTCAATGTAGAGACAGTCCTTATGGTCTGGAGGTAGCAAAACAGGTGCTTTATGGTCATGAGGAACATGTCTATCCAAAACTCACGATTGAAGCCAGTAAGCTTGTAATACTTAGGATTTGGCAGTGGTGAAGTTCTTGTATGACCAATGAACTCATTTTCAACTCCCTTACTTAAGTTTGAATATAATATAGCTTGCTTTCTATCCCAAATGCCAGGTGTTACAATCTTTGAAAATTCATTTTTCCTCGGAAGCATTGCATAATAATTGAAAACATTTTTGAAGTCATCATTTGGTTCAGAGATTTGAAATCTTATACGTAATGGATTTTTTTTCTTTTTAGCTACTTCATTGAATGGTGAGAATACAATGAATTGACAGTCATGAGTTCCATCTTCATTTTCATTAAATTCATAATGAAAGTCTATAAGTTGTGGCCGACTACCTTCTTCCTTCAGTTGTGCAAGAAACTCACGTAAAGGCTGTAAAGTTTGTACTTCAATGTTGAACTTTTTCTCGAACATCTCATTAAATGAAATCATACATTGCAACAATGTTGTATCGTCTTTAAAGTATTTGTATATGTGAATGTTTTGGGCGCTTAAAGACTGTTCGTCATTTTCTATCTCGACTTGAAGTATAAAGTCAACCTTTCTGAAAGCACGTGTTATATACATAGATGTTATGCCAATGTACTTCTCTTCATTTATGTTCACAATCCAGTCTGTTGGAAACTTAAACGTTACTCTGTTCCCCTTTATTTTGACGTCAGGGTTTTCACTACTGAACGCAACAGATAAAGGTATTTGTCTATACATTTAATTCGGATAAAAATAAACCATTTACTCTTTCTTTGCTTCAGCTTCTTTAGCTTTTGCTTCAGCTTCTTCTCTAGCTTTCTTCGCCAGCAAACGTGGGTTCTTTTGTCTTCCAGCAGCTAATGCAGCAAGTTGTTTTTCACTAAGTTTTCTCTTTGGTCTCTCTGGCTTTTGTTCTTGTTTTTGTTCCTTCAGTTCGGATAAAATTTGCTCACGAATTTCTTTCTTCAATGCTTCAACATCTATGACCCCTTGGGTCTTGTCCGTAGGGCTTGTCTGAGTCATTTGACTGCAGATAAAAAACAAAATTAAAACTTTAACCGATGTAAAATGAGCTTGTCAAAATCAGAGCGAGAGTCTATTATATTAAATGACGCCAGAGGAATACAACATCCTTTCTATTACGTAAGTCAGAGTAAAGATGGTAAAATATACGTAAGAAAAAGAAAGGTTCCATTAGCGAATGCAGAAAGCGACAACATTAAGGTGTATGGCAAGGGTGAAGCCCATGTTAAGCCTTCTATTCAAACTGAAAAGTCAATAGAACAAGAAGAAAAGAAGCCAGATGTACTTTCAATAACGAACCAAGAGCTTATTGCAAAGTTTGTGAATTTCATTGAAAAACAAACCGAGTCAAAGAACCCTGACCCGCCAGTGAAAGAAGTTGAGACAAAAGAGAATGTACAGTTCATTGAAAATGTCAAGAAACAACTTCCACCACGAATGCCAAGAAGAAGAGTGAGAATAATGAAGTAAATAGATATTTTTATCCGAAGTAAATACATGCAGAACGAACAGTTAAACGAATTTACTCCAGCAGAGCATATTCATCAGATTCGCTCATATTTCGATATCATAGACAATGCAGTTCAAATTGGTGACACTAATAGAAAATATTCTGACGCAAAGATTCCATCACAACCTGGAACTGCTAAAGATAACACATGGGTAACATTCAATCTCTCACCTCCTGGTGAAAATATGTTGGACCTTTACAATACATTCATTACGTATAAAATGGAAGGTCAATTTATTGTAGATAAAGAAATTGGTTCAGGTTCCAATAAAACAAACCCACCAGGATTTTGGATTGGTTTCGATGACGCTTTCTATGCAGTTGCTGGATATCAAATCCTTGCAAATGGTCGTATCGTATATTCTCAAGACAACGCAAGAGAAGAAGCATATATAACTTCAAACTCACAAACTACCGAACAAATAAAGAAAGTAGATGTTTTCTCAAAGACTCGACATGAAGATGTATGGAGTCATTCGGGAACATGCAGAACAGGACAAATTGTTAGTGGTCCAATTACAGCAGGAAAATCATTTGATTTTAAGCTTCGTTTAAGAATTCCTGTTAGAAGATTCCTTCCATTAGAAGCTATTCGATTTATTCCAGCTTTTGCAGGAAACATTCAGCTTAAAGTAAAGTTCAGTAGCGACGCCTTACAATGCACATCTATATCTGTAAATGATATCATTGCTTTCAATCCAACTCTTAAAGTTGCATTTGCTTCAGATTCAAATCCACCGACAAATAAATTTGTTCCATGGAATGAACCATTCACTATGATAACGAAGGCAGTAGAAGCTAGTGGAACAGTTACTATTACAACTGTAACCCAGCAACTATTTCGAACAAAGATGGATTTTAATGAATGTTTCATTCATCCAAAGTCATTCTCTTTAGACCCTAACATTTATACAGAACTTGTAGAACATTATACAAACGAGGCTTTATGTTTTCCTGTTAAAGTTATGGATTGGATTCCTATGGACGGTTCATTCTCAAAGAATACAGATAGTTCAAGTGCAACATTTACAGCAGCTTATACGCCTATTAATGTTAAAAGTATTTGGGCACTATTTAGAAAGAAAGACAACTATTATGTTAATTTTGAGAACCCTAAGTTTAAATATCTTCAGCTTTCCATGGGAGCTTATGGAAATATGCCTGCAGAACCCGAAAAATCATATGGACCTGTATTTTATGAAATGGTTGCGAACGCTTGCAATACAAACAATGATATGATAGGATTTAATGAAGATGTTATGAGGTCATTGGTGGATGATGGTAGTGTGGAACATAAATGGGATAGTTATGACAACACACATTTCTTATGTGGTTTTCCAACAGAAGTGGACTTTTGCTTCCAGCAAGGTCAAACATCTACTGCTCCAATAACATACAAATTGTCTGTTAAAGGACCTATTGAACTAGCAACTGAAAATGTACCAAAGCCACTTATTGGATTTATGAGGGATTGTTGCTTTGCCATTCAGGTGCGTGCTAATGGATCCCCATAATAAGATTAGATGACTATAACTTAGCTACGGACGACAGTGAGGAATAAAGGATGAATGTTTATTTTTAAAGCTTATAAATGAGTTCTTCATCAAGCTCTCGTGAACCTTCACCATCTATGAAACAAACTTTACCAAACGATTATGGAGCACCTATTGAATATTTCTTACGAGCTGCACAATGGCAAAGAGCAGTTTCACCAAGGTTAGGTGTTCCACCAGCTCCTGTCAAAAATAGCATTTGGTCAAGTCCTTATATAAGATATGGTCTCCCACTAGGTTTGCTAGCTACAGCAGGAGCAGTTATGATGTTGAAAAGAAATAAAGCAAATGTTGTAAATAATACTGAAGTAGCTGAAGTTAAACAAACTCCGACACCTTCACAAGCAAAACCTTCAATGACTCCTGAACCTATGGAAGTACAAACTCCTGTTCAAAAGTCAACTCCTAAACCGACTCCAACATTTAAACCAGAACCTACTCCTCAAATAAATCGTAAAACTCCTGCGTTTCCTTACTGAAAAAATAACGTTATTTTTATTTAATATTAAAATTTTTATTTGATTGAAATGACAAATAAAGTCACTGAAGCAATGAAACAAAAGTTTTTGGTAGAATACATTAAATCAGGAACTATTCCAGAAGGTTTTTACATTCATACTATGAAGGATGGTAGAGTTCAGTTTAGAAAGATAAAGCAACCATTAGATAAAGAAGGAATTTTGAGAAAGATTAAACTTCATGAGGACAACATTGCTGAACTTAGGAAGAAGTTAGAAGAGTTGGAGAAAGGAAGTGAGTTATAAAGCAATGAATTCAACAGACCTAAAGGGTCAGAGCCGCTTTGCGGCTAGGGTGAAAAAAGAGGTGAAAAAAGAGGTGAGATCTCACCGCTTCACCTAAATTTATTTTTGCGCTATGTTTTCATACGTGTGAGGGTGGTGATATCATTAATTTTTAAGTTTATTTTTTATTTTATTTTTAAGTTTATTTTTATATAAATGACGAAAACTATTGAGATAACAAACTACAACGGTCATGAGTTCAAGAATTTGTTCTTCGTTCCTCGTGAAAATACATTCTATCAGATACGAGGGAGAAAGGGTAAAGTTAGTTTGAGCGTTTATGACTACAAGCATAATGGAAAGTTTATACAAGCATACGATACAAACGGTAAACGTGTTTCATTAGCTTTGTCAAAACTTACTAACATTTATTTTGACAGTGATTTTGACCTATATGAAGAAGAAAGTGAGTCAGAAGATTATGAGCTGTTATGTGAAGCACAGCAATGGGAAGCGCTGCAATACTTTTGTAAGTGAGAACGTTTATTTTTACAGTAGTGAAGTCGTTTGTGAAAACGTTAGTGAAGTGAAGTGGTTGGCGGCTTTGTAAATATTTAATGTTAAGTTAGTGTTGTCGTTTGTGTTGTAAAATATATGTTAACGGTTTTGTAAAGTGTCAAATTCACATATAATGGGTACGGTGGAACGCAGTGCCTCCGTACACATGATATGTATACTAACTCTATTATTGTTCATGCTTCATTTTCTGGCGCCCAAAACTCTTTCTTATGCTTGGCAAATGACTTTTACGAAAAACCTACAAAGTTATACGAACCACCAAGTGGAAGTATTTCAGACTTTCAAGTATGGTTTACTACAGATGGAAGAAAAAGAATAATTCCATTATACCATGCGTTTTACTTAGAACTTAGTTTCATATACAACTACTATCGAACGGTAAAAATATAATTTTTTAATACGGTTGAGGTGTTGGATTTGGTTGCCAACTAGACTGTGGTGCAGGTTCAGGCTGTTGTATAACAGGAGCTTGTTCTTCTGGTTCAGGGTCTTTAGGTATAATACCAACAAACTGACCTACCCTTTTACCAATATTTTTGACTCCGTTCCAAATTCCTCTTCCTACGGTTTTTATTCCATTCCATATACCTCTTCCAACTCTTCTGAAGAAGTTTCCTATCTTACTGAAGAAACCCATTTTACTATATGTAAAATCTAATGTCCGCCTAGTCTCTTACGTTTCCTGTTGAGTTCCATAGCATTCTTTAACTGGAGCTCATACATTCTGTTTCTCCTCTGGTAGAAAACATATTCTGGGTCAACTCCTGTGTTCGCGTCATCTGCATAAAGTTGTTTATATCCCACCTCAGGGTTTGTATAAAACTCTTTCCATCTCATATTTGCATACCATGGTGGCAAACCTAACGCAGCGTCATTTGACATGGCAGTTTGCATTTGTACATCTGTTGGCACTTGACCATAGTTTGCCATTGCAGTTTGTATTCTAACTTCATTTGGAATATTCTCTGGGTTTGGTTGTCCAGGTTGCTGTGCATTCGCTAAGTTCTGTGCGTCCATTTAATATTAGATAAAAATATCTCTTACGAGTACATATACTGAACATTTGCAGGCATTGGTTCATCTTCATATTCTCTGTACTTTTCTGCCACGTCAAATAAATAAATGACACAATGGAAAAAACCTAAAACAAGTAGTCCTATTTCAAACCACATTTACTTACTAATAAAATTTCTTTGTTATGACACTTTCTCCGGTTTATAGGACCTCTCTCATATTCTATCTTGTCATATCTAAACTCATAGTCATGTATGTCCTCTAACCATTTCATGACACTTTCTAAACCACTTTTATCGGATGTAAAGTAAAAGCATGGATGGTTATGTAAAACGTCTAAAGTTTCTAAAGAGTCTCTCAAAGTCCAGTCTACTTGGTATTGAAAATCCCATGTGTTATAGAACGGCGGGTCCACTATAAAGAAAACATTTTCCTTGTCTTTATATTTTTCATACAACTCTGTCCAACGACATCTCACAAACTCTATACCCTCAATATATTTTTCTATGTCCTCTTTGAAAACATTTGTATAGTTAAGATATAAAACTTTTGACATAAGTGTTTCAATGTCATGAACTCTTATAGAACCACTATATAATAGTCTAGCAGATATACTATCCCAGTCTATATATTCTGCTTTTTTCAAAACCTCTCTCACAATATTTTTCTTATCTAATGGTATACGTTCCATCTTACCTATAGGTATCTTTTCTTTTAACTCTTTCAATATATTGTTTGTGTCTGGTATATGTTTGAGACGGTCCATATAGTTGTCGAAGTCATTGCATATAATCTTTGAGTCTGGGAATATTGTATGGCACAAATGGGATATATAGAAACTTCCACCGAACAAATCTACAAATGTTAGACCATTCGGTAGTTTCTTAAGTTCTCTCAATATAATATCTTTACATCTACTCTTATTTCCAAAGAACGGTAACGGTGGTTTTGTAAAATTCATTTATATATAATAATAAAAATGTTTTTACCCGAAAAGTGACAGAAAAGTGACAAAGCATGAAAACATATATAATTTGTGAAAAGTGACACATTATATAATGTTTTCGACCCAGAAGAAGGCTTCTTCCCAGAAGCAATGGAGGAAGAAGAAGAGTCCTCCGAATTCACACCAGAAGACTAACAATTTTCCGAATAAAAACTTCATTTATACTAAACATCTTCGGGGCTAGAGGGCACGAAGTGCCTGGAAGCCCCACTACCTTTTTTTTTATATATATTCATAAAGATTTTCCAAAAATATGATACCGCAAAATTAAAAAAGTGACGTCTTGAGTGGAGTCAAATGTCGAAATTGCTAGCTAAATGTTTTTTTAGCGAAATTGCGTATTGTACGTTTTTTCGCAAAACGAAACCCTTAAATGAAAAATAATTAATGGAAATTCTCAGCATTCAAAAAATCGAAATCATTGTCAGCCGGAAATTGATAAATCCTAATAAACAAGGCGGATCGAGCAATAGGCAAGAGATTAGTTCATTACAAATATTCACACTAGTGAAATTTTGTTGGACTAAAAAATCGAAAAATGTACAATTCAGAATTCAAATCTTGCAAAGCATAAATAAATATATATGACGAATAGCTTTTTTATTTGCATTGAGATATTCCATAAAAAAGAAATACGAAATTTTCAAGAATGTATTTGAGGAATATCTCAATGAATTTAAGAAGTTAGAATGGCCTTCAACAAGTGATATATAAAAATTCTTTTGGCCCTTCCTACAATATGACTGAACAATATGATAACGGAAATAGAGTATTTCTTTTTTGCTGAGAATAATATTGACTGATTTTGATGTGTAACAATGTCACTTTGAATTGATGTCTAATACGTATTACAATGAGTTGATGACATTTTCTCAAGGGTCTGTTACAATGCTTTCAATTTTTACAGTGGACCCTTAAAAAAACAATCTTTTCCATATTAACAATATTAAAGAAGGAGTGTAAAGACACTCCTATTCATTTTGCAGTCATTCGCAATTGTAAAGAAATAGTTAAAGTACTAATATCACATGGAGCAATCATCAATCTAAAAAAAATAATGAAGAAGAAACTGCTTCATATTTTGCTGCAAAACATAATTATAAAGATACAATCAAACTCCTAATTTCCCTTGGTGAGCAGACGTCAATATAAAAAATATTGATGAAGGAGCAGCAGAAGTTTTGATATCTTTTTGATGCAAATAATATTTGAAAAAAAAAACTTGTTGGAGAAACTCCTCTTCATTATGTTGAATTATATAAATATGTGAAAATAGGAGATATGCTGATACTGTTTGTTCCTGTTGATAGTTCAAATATACTTAATTCTAGAATCAGTGAAACAATGTAAGAACTTGTATAATGCGTTTTTTTGTCCTTATCTACTTATTCAAAATGATATTATGTGGAAGCCTGTTTCATATTGACAATTTCTTAATGTTTTATTTGGTAGATATATATTCAACATAAAAAGATTATTTCATGAATAAATTTTACAAAGGATATCAATCAAAAAGTTTATTAAACCAAGTATTGTAGACGTTGTTGAAAGAATTCTTTTATTGACTTACTAATATGAAACTTATATTGAAAATAATTAAATAATTTCTATCATTCTTATATGAAAAGTGATTCAAATTAATAATATCTTGGTAAATTTGCATATATGTTATAAAAATTTAAGTAATCTAATATATAAATTTAGTTCACAAACACGCCATGGCGAACGAACCAATCAGCTTGATCCTGGTTGTCACTGCAGTACATTTCGTTATGCCCGCCAATATCAGCAGGGTATAAACCTTTTGCATTGACTGATAAATATTCATTCATTTTAATGTTAAGTAATTTAAATGGTTGTCTGAATTTAATGATATCACCAGTGCAAACAACTTTCCAAACGTTACCAATTTCGTCAGGTAAAGGATAAATACTGATTTCATGGCCACTATTAAGTGGAGAAGTGAAATTATGGGAGTGTAAGAATCCACTTGAAACAGTATGCTGTAAAGTAAGTTCATCGCCACATCTTACATAATCTCCTTGTAAAACTGAAGAGCGATTATTTGATAAAACGTTGAAATACAGTTCAGCAAGAGCTTGCTTGGATGAATTGACTCCTCTTGCGATTTGTTGCTTACTTCCTGTTACATAATGTCCTTCAAATGAAGAAAGGAGAAGCTGTGATTGAACATTTTCAAGTCTAACAATAGAATAATATGTTACTGGAAGTTCTGCAATTTGTTTCAATACTTCTTCACTTGTAGATATTGAGTTACAAAAAAACAAAAACATTTTTTTGGGAAAAAAATTGACAAAAGACTTCCAAATTTTTATATTTTAATGAAATTAAACTTTAATTGTGATTCATTACTTGAAAAAATCATTTTTGATGCTTTTTTTGATCAAAAAATTGGGAATTGATCATTGTTAAATCGTAGAGATGCAATGACATCCATAGGTAAACTTAAGGAATTAGTGAAATGAGATGAAAATATACAAATAATAAAAGTGAAATGCATCTTACAAGAATTCTATGATAAAGACAGAGGAAATTTTAATAGATCTCGGGTAGCCAAAATTGTTAGTCGTATTTACATAGAACGAAAATTAACTAACCGAAAAATTTTTTGAAATTATTCAATAAAATAATAACTATTTAGCGAATAAAATCATCTATTTACATTGGAGCGAAAGTAGGATAAGCTGTGAGGTAAGTTTCAATTGGCTTCATTTCAAAATATTTATCCCAAGAATCGTATTTTTCACCATTTTCATCCATTAAGTATTGTCCGGTAGCTTCGATTAATGGTTTGTTCCATATTTTCCTTATTCCAGTCGGGGTCTTCAAGATCAAACAGTTTGGCTCGTTTTGATCAAACCAACCTGAGATAGAATCGCGTTGATTATTAGCGTTCTTCTCAGCTTGAGGATCGAAGGTAAGCCAATGGCCTTTGTTATTCGAAATTAGAAGTAAAGAAGCAATCTTAAGCATAATGGTCTCATAAGGACCAAACATTGCTAAGAATTTATAAAGATCTGCCTTGCTTTTTGTCTGTTCTTCTTGAGGAGCCATAATGGCGCTAATTACTTCTATCGCATTTTGTTTTGGTTGTTCAGGCTGCTTGAAATATTCGGCAGCCTTTTCAATTAGGAAGTCTCGCATAACAGTTCCGTCTGTTTTTTGCGTTAACCTAAACCAGATTTCGTCCACTTTGGCCCTAAATGTTTCTTGTTCATTGGGTGTGGAATTTCCAATGCACATCGACTTCTTCGTGGTCGGAAATTCAACTCTTTTCGTACCATTGGATCTTTTTGTATTTACTGGCATCGGGGAATCGTTTTGAGTTGGGTCTTCGAATACACTATTTCTGGTAAAGCCGGAACGTTTCCATTGGGTCCATCCGCCTTTATCGTGTTGGAGTTGCTCGAATGCAAGATCACGAAGATTAACGTTGAGAGTGTTGAGTTTAATTCCCATAACCAGTGCAACATTTTTCTTCTTCATTTTGAACTCTGTATCGCTTATCCAGGATAAACCAATTTCCTCTTCGAGTTGTGGATTTGAAGCAAGATAAGTGAGGAGCATGTGTAACTTCCTTGGAAAGCGAGAGTTTGGATCACGGCTAGATTTTCTTTTTAGAGCTGCCACTATCTCCGGTGGGAGACGAGATGTAAAACTTGCTTCAAGGTCATTGGAATCCATTGTGATTTAACGATAAAAACCGTCGGCGGCATGATTTGAAATAAACTCCTCTTAGTCAAGAGTCAGTATTTAACTAATATTATTTAATTTTGATAAACTAATTTTATTTTTGACCGGGCAAAAAAATGTGCGAGAGCATTTTTGGAAAAAAAAGTGAAATTTATGAATGAAAAATTTTGCCTAAAATTTAAAATTCAAAAATAACATCTGATAAAGAATTGAATTCATATACAAATGGCCCCAAAAAAATTTGGCGCCAAAATTGTTTTGAAGAAGATTATGAAAGATATTTTCTTCTAACTATTACAACATGTAAGAACTTATGCTGATGCGTATAAATTGAAGTTAATATTGGTTTGTTACACATAATTTTGGGACATAAAATTCTTCTTTGGTTTATTTTATCTGTGCGATAGGCGAGTAAGTAAAACTCATGATGCTATTTACAAATATCATTACAATAAGAAGAAATAAAAAAAATAAAATTAAAATATTAAAATTTCAATAATTTGAAGAGAATTAAATAAATTTTTTGATATTACAGAAACTACGTATAAGATAAGTGATTTAGTTAATGAAGGCAAGAACATCCTTGAAGTGGTGTGTAGCGTCACCGATGATTGTTGTGCCGAGGCGGCCCTTAGCCCAGCCCTGGATCATGCCACCAAGGGAAGCACCATAGCGGATGCGAGCAACTGGGAAGGATAATAATGTAGCACCAAGATCGGAAATGTGGACTAAGAGGTGGCCACGAGCCCATGAGCCGAGGCTGTTCGGGCAAGCTGGGACATGTGGAGCAACTGTGCCCATTGTAGCAGCAAAGCCGATGGAGCCACCGATTGAATCGACGAATCTGGAAGCAACTTCTGTTGGTGAAACTGTTGTCTTGCCCTTAGCACGGAATTCCTGAACCTTGACGATTGGATACTTAGCAAGTGTGCCAAGGAGAGCGCCAGTGATACCACCAGCAACGTAGACGATGGCCTTGTTGCCGTTTGGATCTTCCTTATTCTTCTTGAACTTTGGGAAGGCATCAGAGAGAACCTGAAGAGCAACTGGGTAGGCGATGAAGTTGACACCAACGTGCATGCCAGAGAGAGCAATGTCAGCTAAGTTGGCTGAGCCCTGAGCACCCTTGACACCGCGCTCGGCAATGATGGCTGTCATGCCACCGAGTGTGGCACCAATGAATGTCTTTGTCATCTCCTTGCAGAAGCAACCCATTTGTAAAGTGAACTGAAAAACGATACGTAATGAATTTCTGTTTTTGCAATATATTGCTAATTATCATGTATATATTAGATAAAGAGTTGATTCAGAGTAACCATCGAAAATTGTGAGCAAGCAAACCGCAGCGGCTCACAAATTAATCAAATATAACTCTCAAAATTTGAAATTACTTTCTGAGAATGATTTCAATTTTGCCATTATTTTTTGGGGCCAAACTTACCTCAAATTAAAACGATGCTTTTACTCAATTTCTAGATATGATTATACAATCATATTTTGTATTTTTCGGAACAAAGAATAGTATGATTATATAAAATTGGCCATTTCCTACATAAATGTTATAATTTAGCTCTAACATTAATGATTCTTTTGAAATTATTGAGTTCTATTTACTTCAATTGTCTCAAACAAAAATAACCTGAGTGTTTTCTTTTTTCTTAGCTCTTTCAGATAATGATTTCTTGTAGGCATTGACTTTCAATGATCATTGTTCTGTAATAGCGATCTCGGTTCGAGATCTTTAATAAAATCCTTATATTACCTACAAGTATCCAATATTCTAGGGATATTACATTATCTTCCATTAAATTTATCATCCTTTGTTACCGTAAGCAATCTTAATGCGCAAAATACCTAAATAATTTCCAAATCAATCAAACTTAGTACCATTATCCGACCAAAAATCATCGAAATAGAATTTCGTCAAAGTTGAAAGAAGAAATCTCTTTAATCGCACATCCTACTTTATATTTCAAATTGGTAATAAAATTTTTTCTATATATAAAAAATCTAATTTATTACTTTTTTTTCGCCATATTAAAACTTATTTTTTTTATTTATTATGATTAAACTTTTCAATCTTAGAGTTCATCTGGTTTTGGAGGTGGAGGTGGTGGGACATCCTCATGTGGTGGTGGTGGAGGAATGTCCTCTGGTCTTGGTGGTGGTGGTGGAATATCATGTGGTGGTGGTGGTGGAATGTCCTCTGGTCTTGGTGGAGGTGGAGGGATATCATCATGTGGAGGTGGTGGAGGTGGTGGTAATGTTGGGATCTCATCGTGGCGTGGTGGCCATTCTCCTTCCCATCCCTCTGGGCGTGGTGGTGGTGGAGGTGTTGGTGGTCTATGTCTTCTGCGTCTTTCCTCTTCAGATGATGTATCTGGTGGAGGAATCTCGCCGCGGTCGAGATATTCCTGATGCCTCTTCCTCCTCTCTTCCATCTTCTTCATGTGCTTCTCGTGGCGGCGCATCATACGGCGCTCGTGGCGGCGCTGATCACGTTCGATGCGCTTCTCAATCTCTTCAGGAGTTGGTGGATGGTGCATGTCTTCCTCGCGTTCTCTCTTGAAGTCTGGATCGCTGTCAGAGTCAGAGTAGTCGTAGTCATGTGGCCGTGGTGGGCGATGTTTGTGCCTGTAGTCTGGTGTTGGCTCTGGAGTTGGTGTTGGTGGTGGAGGTGTCCATCCTTCTGGTGTTGGAGTTGGCTTTGGTGTTGGTGTTGGCTTCTTCTGTCTCTTTGAACCATTCATGTTGAATTCCAAGATCTGGCGCTTGACATTAATCTGGTTGTGCTTTGTTTCTGGGTTAACTGTCTTGTTCCAGTGTGTCAAGTTATAATAGTTCTCTTCAAGCCATTCTTTAGTGTGGTTGTAGTTATCTACGAGGTTGTCGTATGTATCTTTGTAATGAGTAACTAACCATGGTCTCTTCTTTGGAACTTCGTCCTTCAAGTACTTGGCAACTTCATTGATTGTCTTGTTGAGGGACTCAATGTTCTCTGGAATCAACTTCCACTCTTCAATTCTCATCTCGACATCCTTTGTTGTCTCTTTGAACTTGTTGAGCTGATCTCTGAAGACTTGGGAGTGAGCGTATGGGTTTGTAAGATTGTCAAGGAAGTCTTGTGATTCTTGGAGGGCTAGTGTGATGTTCTTGATATCACCTTCGCTGCAGAACTCCTTGAACTCTTCGTCATCTTCAAGCTTTGTGCGGATCTGGAAGAGATATGCTTCAAGCTCGTTACGTGTTGTGGAAGCGTTGTGGCGGTCGCGTTCAATTTCTTCCATCTTGAAGATGAATGTCTGTGATTGGTTGAAGCGCTCTTCGTTGAGCTGCCAATCAGCAAAGTAATGTGTGGCGTTGAGCTTCTGGCCGTTGACTTCAATTCTGTTGATATATGGTAAAGTGAAATCATCAAGGCCGTACTTGATCATGACTTCATCTGTATCGTTGTATGTTGTGTTTTCGTCGAAGTTGACAGAGAAGATGTCAAGAGGAAGCTCGTAGTTGTTATCTGACCAAATTGTGATGTTTTCGCCCTTGAGCTCCTTGTATGTGTAGTAGCGTGGCATCAATTTCTCCATCTTGTCATGAACGTTGTAGAGATCCTTGCGGATACCGTTCAATTCGACTTCGATATGAGTATTGCAGAATGTTGTTGATTTGATCTTCTTTGGAAGTCTGTAGGATGATGATCTTGTGGATCCGAGAACAGTAGCACCGAGGATGACTGCTTCTTCTGGATTGAGTGTGTGGGAAATTGAATCAGACTTTGTAACATTGGACATGACTTCGTGGAAGAGCTGTGGACGGGAGTTGCCACCGATTGATTCAACTGTATCGATCTTCTTGACGCCGGCCTTGTCCATAGCGTTGTTAATAAGATCACCAAGGGAATCAGCAAATGGCTGGATAAGCTCATTGAACTGTTGTCTTGTAAGGACGTATTCGAGACCATCTTCATCGATAACATCTTCCATGGAAACTGTGTATTCGATATCGATTGAAAGTCTTTCCTTAGCGATCTTAGCGGCATCATAGAACATGTTGCGAACACGTGGGGAGTCGGATGTCTTGCCTGTCTTTTCAACAAACTTCTGGTAAAGGAAATCGCCGAGAACTTTATCGATGGCGTTGCCACCAAGTGTGCCGTTGGCAACGAGAGCCTTCTGGTTCATGATGACATCCTTGCCCATCTGGCTGAAACTGAAGATTGAAATCCATGTGCCTGTAGCACCGATATCAATGAAAGCAATGTTGTTGGAAAGTCTCTGCTGTCTGCCGAGAACGTAATAGTTAGCAACAGCAGTTGGAGAATCAACAATAAATGTTAATGTTGTATTTGCAAGTCTTGCAGCTTCTCTGAGGGCATATCTTTCATGGCGAGACATGAATGGTTCGACAGAGAGGGTGAGAAGTGTCTTCTCTGGTGTATAAGCACCAGAGTCGATTGTGCTCAAAAGATAGCGGAGTGTTGATGCAAGAGCCTCACGATGGGATAAACCAATGGAGTTACTAAGAAGAGGGTAAAAGCTTTGGATAATATTCTGTGGGAAACGTTTGCCTGTTGCCTGAGCACGAGATGTATAATCCCATGCGCATTCATCGATTTCTTCGAGGGTCCAGTGATCGCCGTTTCTTGGCCGGGAATTCTTTGGATCTGAATAGTTGTACATTGTGAAAAATGTTGGAGATAATTTCTTGGATTGCTGGTTATTTACTGCAACAACACCACTAAACTTGCCCATACCTGCTTTGATGTTGGCATGACCAATATCTAAGCCAACAACAACGGAGTGGACAAGGGATGCAAGTGCAAATAAAAGCATTCCTAAATCACTGATTTATTTGGCCGGCCAAAAAGAAATGCGACCAATTTCTTGAATATTGATTAATATATCGAAAAACAAACTATTTTATTTTCAATCTCGAACAAAATAAATTGAATTAAATTTTTAGAAAAAAAGCAAGAATGCATTTTATTTATTGGGTATATGTTATTTAACAATTATTTGATAAAAAATTGGATTGAGTTAAAAATCAAATTTTTTATTCAAGGAATATTGACAATTAAATCATCGAATACTAATTAATGGTAATAATTAATGCATTTAATAGATTTTAATTTTCCAAAAATCTCTTAAAAATTGCGAATTTTTAAAAAATAAAGTTAAAATCTGAATTTTTTATAATCAAAAGTTTAAAAATATACGTTTTTTTGGAATCTCAAACTACAAAAATATAGCATATATGGGGCGATTTTATTAATTTAGACTCAATTTTATGTTAATTTGACTTTAATATACTTGAATTATTTTTAAATCACTATCGGAAACACAAGAAATGTTCTACAGCATTACAAACAACATCATTGATTGATATTTTCACATTCATGACTGCTTATAAAAAACAACGAGAAATTTTGGAAAATATTTTCCTTTAATCTCAGTGAAGGATGAACATTCTAACCTAGATCATCATAAAAATATGATAGGTAGGAGATGGGATTATTATGATTAATCTTTGGAATATCGAAATTTTTCCAGATCTTCTGATTTGCTTTGAAAACATTTAATTATTATTCGTTATCCCTATCTTGATGTGAATTCATAATTGTTATTCAAGAAAGAAATCAGAAAAATTTCCAACAAAAAAGAAAAACAAAAAATTTCAATTTGTAAATTGGCATACTTTTGTTCTGTCATATTTTTCATAGTGGAATTTTTCATGTTTTGAAAATTATTATAATATCAACACCAACAATCTAGTGATGCAAAAATTTGGTTGGAAAAAATTAGGTGAATACTTATTTCGTTGTCACTTTCCATCATTTTTTAAAAATGCCTAGAGTAAAAGCCAAAGTAGATCTTACTCCTGATGTCAAGCGCGTTGAGGAAGGCCTTGATAGCATCATACATCGCCAGCCCTGCAAGCATGATTTTAACTCCTTGTATTCAAGTACAGATAAAATCATCAACAACGACAACCAGGCCAAGCTTTTCGATCTCCTCAACAACAAGATCAACGAGGAGATAGCAAAGTGGGAGAAACAGCTCAAAGAGGTAACATCCAATTCTCTCCTTTCCCTTTTCTCAACATTGTACGATAACTTTAAGATTTATTCCGACATTATTCCAAAAATTTACAGTTCATATGATTCTAAGTCTAGTCCCGAAAACAAGTCCAGAATGATCATAAGAAGAATATACTTTAAATTGGTCATTTCCGACAGGAGCATTATCTCATCAGTTACCAAAGCTCTTCTCAAGCAGATCGACTATTTCCGTGATACACCAACCGATACAAATTATTCTATTCCAAAGAACATCGTTGATTCCTTCTACCAGTTTAATCCAGATTGTGATGAGAATAACAAGATCTTGGCCACTTTCAAGATTGACTTCACCGGCGGCGTTTACGCATACTTTAACCAATTCTTCGAGAAGAGAAACGAGTGTGACATTGCCAAGTACACATCCGACTCATTCACTCACCTCACACTCGAAGAGAACATCATCAGCACAATCTTCAGAAAGGTTGAAGCTGACTTGATGTTCAAAGAATCAGTTTGCGCACTTTTCGATTACGGTGACTTCTTCGATATCGACAAGTCAATCAACGTTGCCCCATTGTTGGAGAAAGACGAGACAGACCTTCTCGATAGGTTGAACAAATTAACACGTCTCTACATGAACGGTCGCGTTGAACCTGATATCAATCGCGTTGAACCTCTTATCGATCTCCTCTGCAACTACATCAAGAACAGGATGCTCAGCTTCAGGCCACAGTTCGAAGACGGCCCAGCCAAGTCCGAGAATAAAGAAGAAGGCGCCAAAGAAGGTGGCGATGAAGAGAAAGCAGCTCCAGCAAAGAAGACTGTTGCAAAGAAGACAGTCGCCAAGAAGATCATCAAGAAGAAAGTTGTCGCAAAGAAGGAAGACAACGAAGAGAAGGAAGATGATGAAGAAAAGGAGAACGAAGAAAAGCCAACAACAGCAGAGCCAAAGATGAGAATTGTCAAGAAGGCAACACCAAAGGCCGGAACAGCATCCGCAGCAGAGAAATCATCCAAGAGCAAGATCGGCAAAGATGAGAAGATCACAGCAATGAAAGATCTCATCTTTACAGCACTTAAACTCTACTCCAACTTCAACAAGATCTTCCAAGATTCAAGTGACAAGAAGAAGATGTCAAATGCCGTTGAACAAGCCTGGAATGCAAAGGAGTTCAGACCACATTACAACTTAGTTCAGTTCATCCATTATTCCGTTGTCAACAACCTCGAGAACATTCCAGATGAATACAAGTCCAAGTTCCCACAAATTTGCAAGCTCTTCTTCGATTTCACAACAGACAAAGCTGTTTTCGTTCCTCTCTTCATGAACTACCAGATCCAGCGTATCATCAAGAACAGAGAGTCCGAACAAGACACAAGAGCTCTTGAGTTCGAAATCGTCAAACAACTCAAGTCAATCGGTGCTTCTTCCAACACAGAAGATTTCGGTAAGCATCTTGAAGAAATTTACAACCAAGTCAGAATTTCTATCGACACAACAAAGAACTTCAAGGCAACAATACCTTCCGACAGCCAAGTTGATTTCATTGCAACAGTCTTGAACCATAACATTGTCGAGAAGTTCGCTACAGATAACGCTTTCAAGATCATGCCATTCCTTCAGGATCTCCACAACAGATTCGTTGGATTCTATCAGCAGAACCACCAGAACTCTGATCTCAAGATCATTCCAGATATCTCACAGCTCCAGTTCACATTCAGAGTTCCAAAGAACAAGAAGTCTGCCAATCTAAAGGTTTATACAATCAACACCGATGCATGGGGTGGCTCCATTTTAATGGCCATCTACGAGGCAAAGGAGACAGGTCTCAAGAAGGCAGATATCAACGCTATCACAGCTGTTAAGGAAGACCTCGTCGATGCTTATCTCAAGATGATGTATCACATGAAGCTCATCGCTATGAAGGATAAAGGAGCTTCTAACAAGATGGAAGATATCGAATGGGTCTTGAACAAGAACTTCTTCAATCAGCAGAAGAACATTACCATTCCAACAGTCGATGTTCAGAAGGATAAGGCCAGTGATGTCGCTGCTGAAAGAAAGCAGCAGTTGATCACGATTCACATCATTCGTGTTGGCAAGGGTAATAAGGATGGTATCTCTAAGACAATGCTTATCGAAGAAGTCGCTAGAGCTTGCAGAAAATACTTCGAGCCTAGCATCGAAGAGATTACAACAAAGATGGATAAGATGGCTGTACCAGGTCCAGAAAACTATTTGGAAATCAAGAGTGATGGAACTGTTTTATATAAACGTTAAAAGTAAAGTTTTTTTATTTTATATTAAAATTAGATTTTATTTTTTTAAAATACAATCTTTCAAAAACATTAAGCCTAAAACATATCTTTCACATTAAAAGCTCTTAGATGTTGAAATTTAGGTTTTAAAGTACTAAATAAAATAATTTTTATTTAAATAATATCTTTTCTTTCGTGAATTCATTATGTCAATGCTATGAATCTACTGGCAAATTCAATTTCTTCATCATTGGTCCCGATTCCCAATTCCTAATGCAGTCTAATATAAACATCTCATTTTCTTTATCATTTCCATGAAAATTTATCAATGTATGAGGACAGGTGAATGATTTAGGATTCAATAAACAAACAAAATCCGATGAAGAAATTTCAAATTTTCAAAATTTTAGATCAAAATCAAAAATTTCAGAATTATTTTATATTATTAAGTCTTTGGAATAAGAAAAGTTGATAAAATTGAAGATTATATTTCACTTTTTTTCCAAATTTATTTTTGGCAGAATGATAAATCTTCCATTTTTAAAGTGGCCAGCTGTCGCATTTTGGCTCTCCATCGTTTTTGGTGCATCTGGCATTCTTTCAGGATTTGCAGTTACATTAATTGCCTCCTATCTTGATTATACACTCCCATCTGTTACAGACGCAATTGATGATGACAATTCTAGGATAATTGTTCTTATTTTCATGGGATTAACAGCTCCTTTCTTAATTGGTGCTTCATACAAGACAAGAACATTCATTGGAAAAAGTTCAAAGAAGGCTCTCCAAGCACAACTCAAGATCATTTCTATCCTTGATCCAATCCATCTTGTTTCCTGCATAGTAATGCCAGCTTCTTACATTCTTATGTACTTGATTGGATGGGAAAAACATCCAGTCCTTCACAATATCCTCATTTCAGCCTTTTCAGTTTCACAACTTGGCTTCCAGGTTACAACAGACATGATTTACGCTGTAAGCACAGACACAATGATCAAAGTTGCCTGGGTTACAGATATAATTCACGCAAGCTTCTTCTGCGGAGCTGTCCTCTTCAAGTTCTTGAATATAGTCACTAAGGACTCAGACTTTTGCCACTCAATTTTCGTTGTTTGCCAACTTGTTATTTTCATCTTAGGATTCTTCAAGCTTATCTTCACAGGCATTGTTGTTCTCGGTGCTAGATTCATCGATAGCAACTTTGAAATCTTGAAGAAGGAGAAACAAACTATTTTCGACGAAAATTACGGAATGGCTTAAATTCTTTTATATTCTTAAAATTACTGAACATAAACAAAATACATATTATAATTCTTACATTTTTCATCATTTCTCATATAATTTTCTTGAAAAATTAATATTTTTATTTTTAAATAAGAGAATTAAAAGGATATAAGTATATGAAATACTCGTGCATCTTGAAAATGTATCATCTACTATTCAAAACCTACCAGAAATCAAAAGATAAATGAAATAATTTTTGTATTTTTCATTAAACATAAAGATGATGACAAATCAAATGAGACATATATGGAACAACTGTAAGCCGCTTTCGTGCATATATTCACAAACGGAAATGAAAAATTTAAACAATGCTCATAATTACAATATTAATAAGAGTTATTCTTATAATATTTGAATTTATTTGCTAGGAGATGCTTTAACTCTAGCTATTAACAGTTTAAATCTCTGTTGATGCAGATATTTCATCTGAAAACGAAAGACTTTTAACATTTTTTGATACAAAAATTCATCAGATAGTTTACAAAATACTATATTTAGAATTACATCTCTTGATATCATTAATTAATTTTGAATTTTATTTTTGAAGTTCAGAATTATAAAAACTAAAAAATATGAATTAATAAGACAGATAAGAAAAATATATTTATTTCAAACATAGCGGCTATTATCGAAAACTCTTGATGTCGGAATTTTCTGGTATTCATCTCTTTGAGGTCTTGATTCATCTTCGTATCCTTCCTCTTCTTCGATGAGTTTCTCCAACAGCTCGTGGAAGATTGCCAAAGTGACGTAGAACCAAATACAAAGTCCTTGGAAGATGAAAGAAGTGAAATAAATGGATGGAATGAGCTTGGACTTATCAGCACCATAAGCCATCTCATCATATCCATCCAGAAGGTAATCACCATTACAAGCTGAAATTAATAATTTCGCTGCTTGTCTTGGTGATGTATAATGAGGGCTGTACCATCCAAATAAGCAAACACCAACATAAATATATCCAAAGAAGAATGGCATGCAGCCAATTAAGAACTTGAAAACAGGGCCAATTCCTTGTTCAAGCATTCTAACAATAAGATAAAGAGAAGGAACAAGTCTGAAGTACTTAAACAAGACAAATACATGTGCAAATGATGAAGCACTGAGTAAAAACATCGGCCACGGTAAGCTATCGTTTATATCTTTGCTGTATTTGATAAAAATGGAGACACAAATAACAGAACATGCATCTAATAAGAAGGAAATTGGTTCCCAAGGATCTAATTTGATCCTGAAGTATTTGAGAACTGATGTTCTTTCTTTTAATGCTTTTTGCTTGGCTGTTTGGTAAAATCGAATAAGAGAGATTACTGTAATGATGCAGCAGATAAGAGAAAACGTAACAATGAATGCGGCTGATGTAATCGTCCACTGTGTCAATAATCCAGAAGTTGGCTTTTTAGAATAGAGGATTGATCGCTCGTGCAAGTTCTTCCAAACAATGATACTAGTACCATAGTAAAACTCGAATATTGAACTGACACCAACTTGATAAGAGTCAATTGTTCCAACTTCTCTTGGATGCAAAGTAATTGTCATACTAAGAGAGAATATAGTAAAGGTATCAATGTATTTTAAAGCGATATCATTTGCAACTGATACATTATCTTCTGTTACGATGAATGATAATTGTTCTTGATTTTTGAGCTTGATTTGGAATGTAAGATCCGAAGATTTAGAAAGAGGGTATGAACAAGGGAATATATCTGTAAAGAATAAGTATTTGTAGAATGATCCATTAAGGGCATCAAGAACATCAGACTTTGTATATAGTTTTGCATCACCATATATATCTTCAATATCATCATCTTCACTTTCTGAATGTCCTTCTAAGAAATATCCGTCAATTGCGCGACCAAAATCTTGAAAGAATGGAATCATAGATGTTTGAATTGAAAAAGCAAGAATAAAGTATAGTACAATGATTGCAATCTCCAAAAAACATGACAATGGGAACTTATGATGTGTAGCCCAGCGAATAAATAACTTTTTGGGAGAAATATAAGGTTTTAAGCCTTTTGGTTTAAAATGGAAGATCGGGCGAGTCTCTATTGGAACAGTATCCTGGTGACCGCTAATAGTAGCGGCCTGGGGGTAGCTAAGCCTAAAGTCACTCGTTTTCCAAAAGTGACAGATTTTAGTCGCCTTAATTTTATTCAATTTTTTGATCTACTGACCACACATCTCGAATGTCTCCAAATAGTCTAAAAACACAATTTTATAGAAAATTAACAAAATTTGGTTTACAAACATAACAAATTGTCAACAAATATAAAGTCTGCTGCTAACATATAAAAGGTAGCAGCAGTATGATTAATTTTGAAGCTTATTTGGATGTCTTCTTGCGACGTATAACTTCAAAATTCGGAAGGATTAAAGGATTGAATCGTTTTCGAGAAATAAATCGCTTATGGTGTTCTTTACGTCTTTCGGCTCTTCTCTTCTTCAGTTCTTGATCAGTATCTTGCAAATATCTTGATATAACATATTTTGGCTCAAAATCTTCTTCATATTCGGATTCATCCATAGGATCATCATCGTATACTCCTCTCTGAAGAATATTGTACTGGGGGAATATTGCTGCGTCTTGATCTTCGAAAAAATCTTTATCTGTTCTAATTTCTTGAGTATTCTTATGAACGTGCTTGGTTTTGAAGTTCTTAGGTCCTGTGTCCTCAAGGAATCTACTTTTAGGGAAGAGAGTCATCTCATAATGTTTATCTTCTCTAACATCATCAGAATCGTTCGCGAGAGGACCTGCTTTTGGAATACCCAAGAAGTCATCCTTGAAATCAATTTGTGTCTCTTTACGGTCGATTTTTTCAACTAATTCGTTCATCATTTGTTCTGCAACAGATTCATTAATCGATTCAATATCTTCGGCCATAGCATTTATCTGCCTTGATGCATCTGATGTCGAAATAGAGAAATCATCAAGGAATTGAGATAATGATACTGATACATCGGATTGAGACACATCACCTGAATCATAGGCTTGTTCATACTTATTATAATTGTAGTTAGGTTGTATTGGTGGAAGAATTTGATTAATATCTGGCTGATCGTTATTAATTTGAAAACCTTGGTCTTCATTGTAATCAATTGAGTTTAAGACAGGTTCTTCGTTATAATCTGGAGGGATTAAGGCATTTGCGGATGTATTATGAGTGAGAATTGATTGGGCAAATGGATCTGTTGGTTCATCTTGGCTGTATGACTTTCTACTCTTGTGTTTCTTCCTTTTCTTATTCATATTTCTATCTTGATAAGACTTGATACCTGAAGTATCGACTTCAACTTCAGGCAAAATGTAATCATTTGATTGCTGAGGATTTCTTTGGAATGCAAAACTATTATCTTGCATATTTTGAGCCGAATAATTATGTAAGGGCTCAATGTCAGCTTCAATTTCATTATTTTGTTTGGCGTTTCCAAAATCATGCATGTTTGATTTATTATTCCGACTTACAAAGACATTCTGTGTATCAGGATTGATCTGGCCCTTTGTATTGGGGCCATTATCTCGCTTATGTTTTTCTGACGATATTTGGAAAACAAAAAAATGAATTGTCAAATGAAGAACCCATGGAAAAATCGAAAATAATACCATTCATATGTACCAAATCGTTCCAGATAAAACAATTGAATTGTTGGAAATCAATTCCTTGAGTTTAGGGGTCAATTTTCCAAAATTGAGTTTCACTTATATAGTAGACTTCAAACTAATTCATTTCCAAATAATATGTAAAAAATTTTACATAACGGTTTCCTCAAAAATTGTCAGATTTTTTGTTTTCTTGTTATTTCCTCCTCAGAGTATAAGTTTATCCTTATAACACTAATACATTTCTATCCTAAATGATTTCCATGTATGAATAAATAATAAACAACATTAATATGCTAGCTAATTTAATAATTTTATTTGATATTTTTCTCTTTCTCAAGTTTTTGCTTATTGGGGAGAGATATTAGCTGCTCCTTAAATCTGAGATCTGCCTGCTTGATGTCAATTGTTATCCTTTTATTTTTGCACAGAGATATAAAGCTATTTAGAGGCCATTGAGCTGAAGATTTTAAATAAATCAAAAAATTATGGGGTTTCATATCCTTATATTTTGTAGATGAGGATTAATTTGAAACTGTTATACATTAGTTTCACTTTTGAGAAGCTCTGAGCATGTTAAACATCAAAGCAATGACATCGATCATTCACAGACACAGTATAAAGCGAAAAATTTGGAAGTTTGAAAAATAACGTATATTGCAAAACAACAATAAACTGATCATTTAAATAACAATATATATATAAATACAAATCATGTATAATCCATATAGAACTAGGTAAAATAACTAAATAAATAAAACACAAAATTTGAACATTACTTCTTGAGCTTTGGCATGCCAGACTTTGATTGAGGCAGCTTGCTCATTGAAGTTACAGTAATAGTAGTTGGTTTTGTAATCTGACTCATCCTCTTTGGAATAGTCTTTGTAGCGAGAACTTTCGAAGGAGGCGGTGTGCCATGCTTGTGCTTTGATGTTTTCTGTTGTAATTGTGGTAGATTCGAGTTATTGACTTTGAGCATTTTAACCGTTTTTCCAAATAACTTGTCAGAGAAAGATAGGTTTCTAAACAGTGTGCGCTGATCGATTGCAAGAGGTTCAGCAGCATCTTCGCAAAACAAGGCTTCGACTTTTTTTGTTGAGACAAGAGGGCAAGTATGTTCCGTTGCCTCGAAGAGACCTTGCTCTCTGAATGATTTTGTAACAGCGGCCATCCATGGGTGATTAAGGGCTTCTTCTATCGTTAAGCGCTTCGTTATATCAACTGTCATCAAGCCTTGGATGAAATTCTGGCAATCTGGGGTTAAATGCTTTGGTATTGTATATTCGCCTCTCCTAATTTGCTGGAATAGCTGTGTCTGATTACGCTTAGTCCATGGTAACTGACCTGTAAGCATCGCATAAATAATAACTCCTGTGCTCCATACATCGCTAGTAAAAGCATTGTATGGGCAACCGCTAACACATTCCGGTGATGCATAGCAAGGCGATCCACATGGAGTATTTGCAATTCCTGTCTGCCCAACAAATCTGGAAAGACCGAAATCGCTGATTTTGACATGTCCTTGTTCGTCGAGTAGTAAGTTTTCTGGTTTCAAGTCTCGATGGGCAATCCCTTTTGAATGAATATACGAAAGCACTGAAAACACTTGATAAACAATTGTTTTTGTTTCATCTTCGGAAAGCTTGCCTTCATCGACAATGTGCTGGAATAATTCTCCATTGGGACAAAATTCCATAAAAATATAATAATTTAGATCATCTTTGAGTAAATCATATAAAGTAATAATACCTGGATGCGTTAGTTGCTGAAAAATCTTGATTTCTATCTCAAATCTTTGTTCTAGTTCTGGAGAAGAGAGTCTTGATTTTGGAACAATTTTACAGGCCATGTATCTCTTTCTCGCTTCATCGTATGCGAGTTTAACAACGGAGAAAGCACCTGTTCCAATGGTTCCTCGGATCTGATAGGAACCTATTTTATTCGGTGTCGAAACAGTCATCTCCATTTTTTGTAAACTAAAGTTCTGAAGAATAACGAGAGAATTTGTAAAGGGTAATCTGGAGGATTATCAAATTTTGGCGGTAACCCAGCAATATTTTCACCAATTAATAGAGAATAATTTCCCCAAAGGAATTTTCATTTATCGCTGGAGTAGGTGACAAAAGTGCATACTCTTAAATTAACCTTAAATGTTGATTTTTCGATATTTTCGGTATTAACCTTATTGTAAATTTTTCCGGTGATAAATTTATCACACTGAGGTTATTTTTCCGGTGAGATTTTTAACCTTGATTTAATGAAATTAATATATATAAATTTTATTATTTTTAATTTCGAATGAGTATAATAAAATATTTTTTATGTGTTTTTGTTTTTGATGTGATTTGAATTTTTTTAACTCTTTTCAAAATCACTTCATTTTTATGATTTCGGTGGACTTAGAGGAGCTTATTGCTTTTGGTATTAAACAGGAAGTCAAGGGCGGTGTCCCGTACAGAAGAAGAACGGGATCTCCAAAGCAATATGTCACTTATTCATGTTCGTATCCCCTATGCAAGGCAAAATTTAGGGTTGAAGAACAAAATGGAGTGTTTACTATAAGCAAAGTTAATGAAGAACATTGCCATCATATAGGAGTTGAAATGGGTTCACATTACGCGAGTAAATTTTATCAAAAATGGATCGAACTTTATATTAAAAACGGTGGAAAGCAATTTCTTGCTCAAAAAGCATTTTTTGATAAGTTCGGAATTGATACGAATAACAAAGAAACGATGAAACTTTTCGCGCAGTCTACTGATGCTTTAAAGCACAAATTTTATCGCCTTGATGAGATTATTGCACAAAGATTATCAAACGATCCTTACACTTCTTTGGAAGCATTTTTGAATAATTTACAGGAAGAGTGCCCAGATGATCTCGTTCAATTTGATTACAATGGAGATTTTTCCGAGTTTACAATCATATATGCACCTTTTGCTGCAAAAGAATTGGTGCATAGCATTGATAACCCTCTCCACGTCGATTCCACTCATTCTTTAATTAAAGGAAAGATCCAATTGTTTGCAGTAACAATGAAAACAAGTCAAAACACAATTTTCCCCTTTTGCTATTTTTTAGTGAACCCTCAGACATCTGAAAAAATTCAAGAATGTTTGGTGAAATTCTGTGAGTTTGCGCACCTGGATCCACAGCATTGGAGCGCTGACTGTGCGCTAAACATTGCTCGCGCAATTGAGGACGGATTTCCTCTTGCGCAGCTCAGTTGGTGCGCTGTGCATGTTTTACGCGCATGTGCAAAAGTTGGAAGCTATTTTGACAATCCACAGAATTTTGAGAACTTCTATTTAGCAATGGACTTTTTGACATTACGTGCAGATGCAACGAATGCAGAAAAGCTGGCTGAAGAGTCTGATGAAACATATGAGTTCTTGACAACAATGTTAGAAGAAGAAGAACCGCGCGCTTTGAAGTATTTCGATAAACAATGGAGAAGAACCAAAGAACATTGGATGATGTTATATCGTGGAGAAGGTGATTCCACGAATAACATTGCGGAATCACACTTTCATCAATTAAAGCAAACATTTTTCTTGGGTAAGAAAAATGAGCGCATTGATGACATCGTCATAACTCTCATCACTGTTGTGATTCCAAATGCGATTATTAAGGTTCAAGTCGCTAATGTTTTGAATGAAGAAAGAGCAGTAAGAATTCTTACAAGGGCAGGTAATCAGATTGTTGAGCAAAGAGCTTCAAAACACGATGAATGTTTGAAATTAATTCAACACATTTTGGAAATTGTCGAAAGCCGAAGGATTGAACCTAATGTCCTTATTCCATCTTTGAAGGCAATATTAAATTTGGCACAAAGAAGTTTAAAGGAAGAGTAAGCAAGATTAGATAATTTGGACTTTTTTTAAAATTAATGAATAAACAGTATATTTTTGAAGTGTAAGCTTATTTACCTGAAGCTATATTACTTAATATAACATTCAAAGTATTATTGCTATTTATTGGAGAACAAATTTATGTAATTTTCACATGAAAATTGATAAATTTGTATTTCCTTATGATAATCAATTTTTGTATTTGTAGAGAGTCTCCCTGCATGATATCAAGACTTGGCTATAAGTCTTTATCCATTTTTGAAAATTGTATTGTAAATTGTAAGAATTTCTGAATACTACTACTATAAAATATAATTGCTTATCAATGTATATTCTCCCTGCATGATATCAAGACTTGGCTATTAGTCTTTATCCATTTTTGAAAATTATATTGTAAATTGTAAGAATTTCTGAATACTACTACTATAAAATATAATTGCTTATCAATGTATATTCTCCCTGCATGATATCAAGACTTGGCTATTAGTCTTTATCCATTTTTGAAAATTGTATTGTAAATTGTAAGAATTTCTGAATACTACTACTATAAAATATAATTGCTTATCAATGTATATTCTCCCTGCATGATATCAAGACTTGGCTATTAGTCTTTATCCATTTTTGAAAATTATATTGTAAATTGTAAGAATTTCTGAATACTACTACTATAAAATATAATTGCTTATCAATGTATATTCTCCCTGCATGATATCAAGACTTGGCTATAAGTCTCTATTCATTATGAGTATGACCCCATTTTTTTACAAAAAGTGCCGAATTGCAACTTTGTCCCAATCTCTTTATCGCTGTTTTTTAGTTTTATTGATTTCCTCAATCCCATTTTTATCAATTGCGGTGCATATAACGATATAACCATTTTGTAATTCTATCGATTTATAATGTAATTTTAGAAATAATCCATTACTTTGAATCTCGAAATTTTTCAAATCAAAAATACAGATCATTGTCATATTAAATAGCAAGAAAACATAAAATCACACAATTTTGAATTAAAAAAATGATGAAATCTTAGGAATTCCTTAATGAAATCTATTTGGCTAAGCAATAACCAAACATTTGGCTGAAATGTAGCGTCAGATATCATAATTCTAATATTTTCGCTTAGGCTGGCAGAAAAATGAAATGAGATGGCAAGAACGGTTATTATTTTGGCTTTTTAGATTTCGAAATGTTTTCAATGACCAATTTCTTCAATAGGGGTTACTCCCTATTCTATATGTCAATGACTGCATTTTGCATTGTTGCAGGCTTTGGCGCTATCATGGCTTACTTTTACTCTATGGATCCAGTTGTTGATTTTGCAGTTGACAAAGTTGACGGATTCGGTTATTCAAACAGAAAGTTCGAGGAAGCTAAACTTCTTTTCAACATCTCAGCAGATTTTTCAAAATTAGTTCATGTCAATACTCGCCTCTTTTATGCATACATCGAAGCCGAATGGGAAACAAGCAATGGAGTTAATAAACACCGTTCGATTCTCTGGAATAAACTTGTTTATCGTGAAAATCCATATGTTAATCTTACAAGTACTGAAGGAAGCTTCACTTTCCGTCAAGTTGGTGAATCAATGAAAGGAAAAACAATTAAACTTTACTTCCGCTTCCAACTTGTTCCGTTCATTGGCTTCTTTAAGACAGCAACTGTTAAATCCATAGAATTTACTCTTCCATCAGAGCATTTCAACGCACCAACTATCGACGTATTGTACTAAATTGTTTGTTGCCCGAAATTACGAAGGAATCTCTCTATATTATATTTTTTTTATTTCCTGATGCAAATAAAATTATTTTTTCTTACACAATCTAATAAAAGATAACTTCAAATTTACTTTTTACAATAGGAATTTTCATTTTAACATTTGTTTTATCTTATCAGATCTATTCGAAATATTTCAGTTTCATTTCATATACAAATATTTTGCATTATCTCAATGAGACATATTTCTGATATTGTTTCTAAAACACTAATTAAAAATTTGATGCGGCAATTGAAGGGATAATAATCGTCGGACATCAGTCTAATTAGAAAATTTCTTAATGGAAGCTGGCTTCGAAACAACTCCTGGAACAAGAAGAGTTGTAGCTCTCCAGTCCAATATAAGATCGCCTTATATGCAAGACCCAGCAAAGACTCCTCATCTTGCAACAACTCCAAGAAATGATGAAGATACTTCCCAAATTTATGCTGCTTGCATTGAAAACGGAACCAGAGAAGTTGGAATCGCGATGTTAAGCCTACATCCTCCTTCACTGTCATTATACCAGTTCTCAGACACTTCGCTGTATTCTTACGCTAACAACATCCTTGAAGTTACATCTCCTTCCAAAATCCTCGTTGTTCAATCACCAGTCAAGTCTGCTTTTACTCAAATACTCTCCGAAAAGTACGATGATACAAAGATTGTCAATATTCCTCGTTCTCAGTTCTCAGATTCGAAAGGTATAGAGTTACTCAACCAACTTTCGAACTGTCCGAACGAAATATTTGGCTCTACAACACCTACAAAGAACAGATACCTCTGTCTCTCATCAGCAAATGCAGTAATCAATTACGCTCTTAACAATGAAAACATCCAGATCTATCCTTCCTCGTTACGCACTGTATTTCATCCATTGGAAGGACACTTGATGATTGATCCAATGTGCCTCACAAATTTCAATATCATCACTGCTCCAAAATCAAGTCTACTCAGATTTTCAACATCCAAGAAAAATTTGGCAACACCGTCACTTTTTAATTTCTTGGATAGAACGATAACAACAAATGGAGAAAGGTTTTTGAGGTCAAATTTGGCTGCACCACCTTCAGATCCAAGACACATAAATCTAAGACTTGATTTCGTCAGAGAATTGGCAGATAATGATGAATTGAAAAATGAAATCAAGAATTCCTTGAAAGGAATTGATGACTTAGATCCAGTTATCACTTATCTCGTTGCAAATCATGCAAAGAAATGTCAGCCATCTTTCAGTCTAGATGTAATTTTGAAACTTTTGACAGTGTCAAAAAACATGTCAAAAATACATGATTGTTTAAGTCAAATGTCAAATGTTTTGGCAAAATCATTGACAGGCGCAATCGAACAAAGTAATTTTGACAAAATAATCGAAGCTTTGTCAGATTTTGATGATACTTTTGACAATGACAAAAAACAATACAAAGGTGACAATTCAAAGTATATTTACATTGTCAAAAATGGTCGTAATTCTGTTTTAGATGTTACAAGGAAGACATATGACAAGACAATTGAAGAAATATACAATTTGCCACAAGAAATATTTGACAAATACTCAATAAAATGTCAAATCAAGTTCAACAAATCAAGAAGATATCATATCCAAATCAAGAAAAGTGACATGGACAAAAATCAATTGAAATTACCAAGTGAGTTCATTTTTGTCACTTCTTCTGATTCATATATCTCCTGCACAACGCAAGAACTCCTGATTCTCAACAAATCAAATGAATCTTCTGAATTTGACACAATTTCTGTTTCTCAGAAATTTGCGGAATCAAAAATGAACAATATCAGAGAATTCATTTCATCAATTTATTCAATAAGTGAAGCCATCGGATTTATTGATTTCCTTTATTCACTTGCAGTTGTCACAAGCGAAATGAAGAATGCAAATAGACCAATTATTGATGAAAAAATGACATCAATCAAAATGGTTGACGGAAGAAATCCCGTCATGGAAAAAATATTCCAAAACAAACTCTCTGAAAACATGTCAAAAATACTGACAAGTGACATGAAAAATGAATTCATTCCATTGTCAATTTATTTGACACCTGTCAAAAAAATCTCGATTTTGAGTGGTGTCAATGCCAGTGGCAAAACAACATTGTTACAGACAATTTGTTTGAATTTGATCATGGCAAATACAGGATGTTTTGTTCCATGCAAAGAATTGTCTGTTCCAATTATTTCCTCTCTTTTTATCAAATCAAGTCAAGTTAATGATTACATTGAGAGTGGAACATCATCATTCAAACGAGAAATGATGGAATTATCGAATATTTCGATGCATTCCGACCAACGAAGTTTAGTTTTGATTGATGAACCATGTAGTTCTACATCAGCACTCGATGGCTGCTCATTGGCATGGACATTGATTGAGAAGTTGATAATTAATAAGTCATTCGCAATTATTTCAACTCATTATAGAGAATTGGAAGAAATGTCAAATATTTACAAAGAAGTGAACTCAAATCAAATGATAAGTGAAGTGAATTCTGATGGAAAATTTTCATTCACATACAAAGTAGGAGAAGGGAATTTGAGTGAAATGATGTACGGAATCAGAGCCGCACAAGGATTTTTACCTTCAGATGTAATTTCTTATGCAAAAGAAGTTTATGAAAACATTTCTGTTCCAAAAGAGAAGAAAAAGAAAATGTCTGGAAAAAATGCTGCTGCAGCTTTGATCCAAAGAATAATCAACTTAAACACAACAAATCTCGATAATGATGGATTAAGAGCATGTCTTACATCCATAAGAAAAAGATGCTCCATCAAATGAAATACGAAAATAATCGTTATCGTCAAAAGTGACATTAAATTTTTTCAATAAAAATTTTATTTTATTTTTTGAATTTGAACATTTATAATAACTTTGAGAGCAATCAGAAAAATAAATGAATTCCTACAAACTAGAGATAGTTTTTAACATTATATTTTATTAATTCTCTATATTCTCTCCAATAATGATTAGATTTTTGACCTCTCAAGACAACTTTTTTTTATAAACAAACAAGAGAATTCTTCCATATTCCAACTATATCCTTCTCTAATTTCTCTTCTAATAAACCCTCATACCCATCTAAATATACACATCTTACAATAATAATTTTGGCGAGAACGAGATTTTTTTATATCTGATAGAATCAAATTAATATAGGAAAGAAAGAAATAAAAATTTATCAAATTTATAAGATTTTAAACAGAACTAATATTATTAAGGAAAACAGTAGCTGCATCAGCGATGACATTTTTCTCTTTAAGTTCCTTGAAATAAGAAACTAAGCCATCGACTTTCTTAAATCTCGCAGCCATTTTTGAGTGAGAACTCAATGCAACGAAAAGTAAAGCGGCAGGTTTTGTCAAGTTGTTGCTATTCTCTATGCAATTCGCCAACAGATCGATGAACAACTTGTAGTCGCTTGAATATCCTTTCTGTATACAAGCGTCGAGGATGATGAAAGCTCCCAACATTTTCTGGTCATCATACGCGTAAACATTCATTTTCTCCTGGAGGGCTTCGAAGAAGTCATCTTCAGTCAATCTGTACATCAATGACTGGTCGATTGGCATTCTTCTGAATACAGATCCCAAAGAAACCAAAACTTCATTCGGAATCTGTCTCAAACACTTTGTCAAGAACAATGAGAAATTCTTTGATTTGATGATTAAATTTCTCATTTCAGGATCAGCAAAAATCAACAAAAATGCCTTATAAGTAAATTGATTTGCAATGCTCATCCATTTCGTTGTAGACAAAGCAATCTTCCTGTGTTCCTTTGACATCGACGCGAACTTCATCAGACAGCGAGCAATCTTTGGCCTCGCGCATTTTTCTGACAAATTCTTAAACAATGTTTTTGACAAAGGAAATTCAGGAGTTTTCAACAAAATTGTTGCGCAAGGATCAGCACAATGTGCATTAGGAAGTCCACGAATAATTGCATCGAAAGGAACTTGATCACCTTCTTTATACGTCAATGCGAAAATGTTTAAAGCAGCACTCATTACGAAGGAATTTTTGGATCTCGTAAAAGCCGAAATTGTTTGTTTCAAAATTTCCATTCTTGTTTTTGCGAATTCTTCAATTTGAGTCAGTTTATAGATGCATTTGATGTAGATGTCTCCTGACTCCGCGTGAACGAAATTACGAGCGAATCTCAGCATGAAATCCAATGCAGGAGCCGGATCTCTAATTCTACTGTATCTAGAAATAAAATGCGGATAAAGAGAAATTGTTTGATAAGGAAAAACTCTGAACATTGCGCCAAGAGCTCTAAATATTGTTGATTGTATCCTGTTTGGTGCCATTTCGAATGTAGCTGCAATGAAAAACAATGTTGCTCTTTGCGCTTTTTCGGAATTAACAGGTAAAACGGAGAAGAAATGGTACTGATCCATGAATTTGATGATTTTCACATCCCTTTGTATCAATTTCGTGAATTCTTCAAGAATGAAAACAGCTAAGGAATCATCATCTTTGTTCATGAAGTATTTAACTAATATTCCGTAAACAGGAGGAAATTCATCAAATGTTACTTTGTCAAGTACTTCAATTACCTTCTCTTTGAACAAGGGATGATTTGGATCAGCTAAAACATCGAAAACTGTAGTTTCTTTCTTAGGTTCTTCATGTTTTTCGGCAATTTCGGCTTTCATTGCGTGTTGATCTTCGAATTCTTTAAGGTTTTCCTCTGATCTCGTCTTTGCCATCTCTTCTGAATCGTTTTTGACCCTTGGAGCAACATCTTCTTCGAAATCTTCCGAAATTGTAAGTCCAAACGCGAGTTTCATTTCATCTAGCTTGTTGGCTCTGATCATTTTCTCTTCTAGATGCCTGATGACCTCTGCTTCCCATGGATTTGTCTTACCTTTGCTTGGAGATTTCGTGTATTTCATCTCATTGAACTCTTTCGTGAGTTTCTCAGCAAATTGCTCGATGACTTTGTGGTCTGTACCTGCGAAATAGGCTTTTCCTGTGGCGAATTCTTTGTAGATTTCATCAGAAGTTGGTCTTTGTTTTGGATTTTGGGCCCAGCATCGACCAATTAGATTTATGAGGCATTCAGGAGTATCTTGACGTCTAAAGATAGGTCTTTTACCTGTTCTGATGTTGTTAATGACTTCTTTCATCGGATGTCCTGCAAATGGATTCTTTTTCTCAACCATTTCGAACAAGGTTGCTCCGTATGCGAAAACATCGACTTTGATATCGTATTTGGTACTGACCATGATTTCTGGAGCCATATGAGATGCAGTTCCTATGGCATCTGTCATGATTTTGCGCTTAATGAAGCGTGAAATGCCGAAATCGCAAAGTTTTGGTAGAAAATGATGGTCAAGAAGAAGGTTTGCCGCTTTAATATCACGATGAATGATTTTCTGAATATGGACATGACGTATTGCAAAGATTAATCCCATCGCAATCATTGTAAGATGGGTTCCTGAGAATATGGGCTTGGCTCTGAACTCTTTTCTCAGATATGAACTTAATGCGCCGTTTGGCATGTATTCTGTGATAATGCAGTATGGTTTTTCAACTGTGTAGCCGATGAATGGGATAATAAATCTGTCTTTACACTTTCCCATTGTAACAATTTCTCGAACGAAATTTGTTAGGTTGCGACCAACCAGTTTTTCAGCAAAAAGCTCTTTGATAGCGACTATCTTGCCTGTACGAAGATCGTTGGCTAACCAAACTTCACCGAAACCACCATGGCCGATAATTTCTTGGAAAACAAAATCTGAAATATCACGTATTTGATGAGGATATATGGTTGCGAGCCTGTGAAGACTCTCGTACAATAAAGATTCTGCAGATTTAGTAACTTTTTGAACTTCTTCTTTTGGCTTTATTGGATATTCAAAATCCTTGGCTTTGAAAATAGCTGATTTCCTTCGTTTCTTCTGGTCCGAGTTCTTCTTCGTAGGGAGATGGGAAAATGAATACCTTCGCTTTTTGGGAGTTTGATCATTTTTGTCTTTCTTTTTGCTACGATCTAGCGGTTGCGAAGCAATCTTCTCTAGCTCATCTTCACTGTTGTTATTTCCTTCATTATCTCCTTCTTCTGGCTTTTGGTCAGCATTCTTCTTACTCATTCAATTAATAAATAAAACTTTTTCTTAAATTTTATTTTGAATTAGAGGTTCAAAAGAGGGTATTTTTAAAACAAAATTTTTATGCTTTGCAAATTTCAATACAACTCAAAACTGCCTTCAATTCAGAAACTCCAAATTACTCTTTAAAATGAATTATGAAAATAAGAATATTTATTCGTAAATTAACGTCCGGAATTAAAAAACTTATCGTTTTATTTTCAAATAAATTTCCCTCAGAATTAATTTTGAAAAAATTGGAAAACGAAGGATAAAAAATGCTCGAATTTTTGGTTGTTTCGTCCCCCAACATGTAAACAATTGTCTGTTCTGTTAAAGCCACACCATTAATGCGTCTTTTTAAACACATTTATTTATTCCCAATTAAGTTTGTAGTAACAGGCTTCATTCTCCTAGTAGTAGATTACTTTGTACTAAATTTGCTAGATTATCAAGCAAGCAATATCTTGCAAAACTTTTTAATTGAAATCAGAAAATTCATCGAACCATGCCGCTTATTTGCGCTAAAAAACTAATACCCTTGATTCTCTTGACTATGGTGTAACTATTTCATTATTATTACTATTTGCATTCTTTATTACTGTTAAAAATAATCTGATTCATTTCATTATAAAGGAAATCAAAGATTTTGAAATATTGCAAAAAAAAAAAAAAAAAAAAAAAAAGGAAGTGGGGCTTCCAGGCACTTCGTGCCTTCTAGCCCTGAAGATGTTTAGTATAAATGAAGTCTTAGAGGACAAACATGACTATGAGTTTTGATATGACAAGATAGAATATGAGAGAGGTCCTATAAACCGGAGAAAGTGTTATATAAACATCTGTCATATTACTCAGAATATTATACAGAATTCAATAAAAATATATTTTAGGTGAAGAGGTGAGATTTCACCTGTTTTTTCACCTCATTTTTCACCTCTTGAATTTTCATGAATTTCATCGTAAATGTTAGTTAGTATCCCTAAGTTGGGTACTGTGGCACTGCGCGCCTCCGTACACCACTTAGCGGTTTTGACACTTTACGAAACTGGTAACGTATATTTTACAACACAAACACCAACTTAACCTTAAATATTTACAAAACCATCTGACACATAAACGACTTCACTAACGACTTCACTAACGAATTCACTACCGTCCTCACTAAATAAAAATAACCTTATTTTTAATTTTTTAAAATTTTTTATTTCATTACAAAGACATGTCCGACTACATTTACTATGACTCTTTCCCAGAACGTTTCCGTGAACTATTCAAAACTCAAGTAAAACTGAGAAACATGCATTTTAACAAAGACAGACCCATTGACGATGAAAGAAACCCTGAATATATTACAATCCCTTATGACGCAAAGTTCATTGCATACATTCCTTATGGTCGCAGAGGAACGAAAACTATTTCAACAAAGAACAAAAATTATTTCTGGAGCGATGAAGAAACTTGCCTTATCTACATAAATGCATACTTAAATAAAGCTACATATTGTACAAAAGAAGGTTGGACTGGATTTGAGCTCTACATATACGACGACGATGGAAACAGACGTTGTGTATACCCATACGATAATATGTACCATTGTTTTCATCAAGCATTAAACGAATATATAGTCAGTAAGGGTCTCATTCCTGTTGAGTAGATATGCTTTATTTTTGTTCCCACATTTATTTAAAAATTAATGATATCACCACCCTCACACGTATGAAAACATAGCACAAAAATAAATTTAGGTGAAGTGGTGAAATCTCACCTCTTTTTTCACCTGTTTTTTCACCCTGTTGAATTCATTACTTTATAACTCTCTTCCTTTCTCCAACTCTTCTAACTTCTTCCTAAGTTCAGCAATGTTGTCCTCATGAAGTTTAATCTTTCTCAAAATTCCTTCTCTATCTAATGGTTGCTTTATCTTTCTAAACTGAACTCTACCATCCTTCATAGTATGAACGTAAAAACCTTCTGGAACCGCTCCTGATTTAATGTATTCTACCAAAAATTTTTGTTTCATTGCTTCAGTGACTTTAGTCGTCATTTCAATCAAATAAAAATTTTAATATTAAATAAAATAACGTTATTTTTTCAGTAAGGAAACGCAGGAGTTTTACGATTTATTTGAGGCGTGGGTTCTGGTTTAAATGTTGGAGTCGGTTTAGGAGTTGACTTTTGAACAGGAGTTTGTACTTCCATAGGTTCAGGAGTCATTGAAGGTGTTGTTTGTGATGGTGTCGGAGTTTGTTCAACTTCAGCTACTTCAGTATTATTTATAACATTTGCTTTATTTCTTTTCAACATCATAACTGCTCCTGCTGTAGCTAGCAAACCTAGTGGGAGACCATATCTTATATAAGGACTTGACCAAATGCTATTTTTGACAGGAGCTGGTGGAACACCTAACCTTGGTGAGACTGCTCTTTGCCATTGTGCAGCTCGTAAGAAATATTCAATAGGTGCTCCATAATCGTTTGGTAAAGTTTGTTTCATAGATGGTGAAGGTTCACGAGAGCTTGATGAAGAACTCATTTATAAGCTTTAAAAATAAACGTTCATCCTTTATTCCTCACTGTCGTCTGTGGCTAAGTTATAGTCATCTAATCTTATTATTGGGATTCCATTAGCACGCACCTGAATGGCAAAGCAACAATCCCTCATAAATCCAATAAGTGGCTTTGGTACGTTTTCAGTTGCTAGTTCAATAGGTCCTTTAACAGACAATTTGTATGTTATTGGAGCAGTAGATGTTTGACCTTGCTGGAAGCAAAAGTCCACTTCTGTTGGAAAACCACATAAGAAATGTGTGTTGTCATAGCTATCCCATTTATGTTCCACACTACCATCATCCACCAATGACCTCATAACATCTTCATTAAATCCTATCATATCATTGTTTGTATTGCAAGCGTTCGCAACCATTTCATAAAATACAGGTCCATATGATTTTTCAGGTTCTGCAGGCATATTTCCATAAGCTCCCATGGAAAGCTGAAGATATTTAAACTTAGGGTTCTCAAAATTAACATAATAGTTGTCTTTCTTTCTAAATAGTGCCCAAATACTTTTAACATTAATAGGCGTATAAGCTGCTGTAAATGTTGCACTTGAACTATCTGTATTCTTTGAGAATGAACCGTCCATAGGAATCCAATCCATAACTTTAACAGGAAAACATAAAGCCTCGTTTGTATAATGTTCTACAAGTTCTGTATAAATGTTAGGGTCTAAAGAGAATGACTTTGGATGAATGAAACATTCATTAAAATCCATCTTTGTTCGAAATAGTTGCTGGTTTACAGTTGTAATAGTAACTGTTCCACTAGCTTCTACTGCCTTCGTTATCATAGTGAATGGTTCATTCCATGGAACAAATTTATTTGTCGGTGGATTTGAATCTGAAGCAAATGCAACTTTAAGAGTTGGATTGAAAGCAATGATATCATTTACAGATATAGATGTGCATTGTAAGGCGTCGCTACTGAACTTTACTTTAAGCTGAATGTTTCCTGCAAAAGCTGGAATAAATCGAATAGCTTCTAATGGAAGGAATCTTCTAACAGGAATTCTTAAACGAAGCTTAAAATCAAATGATTTTCCTGCTGTAATTGGACCACTAACAATTTGTCCTGTTCTGCATGTTCCCGAATGACTCCATACATCTTCATGTCGAGTTTTTGAGAAAACATCTACTTTCTTTATTTGTTCGGTAGTTTGTGAGTTTGAAGTTATATATGCTTCTTCTCTTGCGTTGTCTTGAGAATATACGATACGACCATTTGCAAGGATTTGATATCCAGCAACTGCATAGAAAGCGTCATCGAAACCAATCCAAAATCCTGGTGGGTTTGTTTTATTGGAACCTGAACCAATTTCTTTATCTACAATAAATTGACCTTCCATTTTATACGTAATGAATGTATTGTAAAGGTCCAACATATTTTCACCAGGAGGTGAGAGATTGAATGTTACCCATGTGTTATCTTTAGCAGTTCCAGGTTGTGATGGAATCTTTGCGTCAGAATATTTTCTATTAGTGTCACCAATTTGAACTGCATTGTCTATGATATCGAAATATGAGCGAATCTGATGAATATGCTCTGCCGGAGTAAATTCGTTTAGCTGTTCGTTCTGCATGTATTTACTTCAGATAAAAATATCTATTTACTTCATTATTCTCACTCTTCTTCTTGGCATTCGTGGTGGAAGTTGTTTCTTGACATTTTCAATGAACTGTACATTCTCTTTTGTCTCAACTTCTTTCACTGGTGGGTCAGGATTCTTTGACTCGGTTTGTTTTTCAATGAAATTCACGAACTTTGCAATAAGCTCTTGGTTCGTTATTGAAAGTACATCTGGCTTCTTTTCTTCTTGTTCTTTTGGTGGCTCAGTTTGTACAGAAGGTTTTATATGGGCTTCGTGGGCTTCGCCCTTGCCATGCACCTTAATGTTGTCGCTCTCTGCATTCGCTAATGGTACCTTTCTTTTTCTTACATATATTTTACCATCTTTACTCTGACTTACGTAATAGAAAGGATGTTGTATTCCTCTGGCGTCATTTAATATAATAGACTCTCGTTCTGATTTTGACAAGCTCATTTTACATCGGTTAAAGTTTTAATTTAGTTTTTTATCTACAGTCAAATGACTCAGTCAAATCCTACGGACAAGACCCAAGGTGTCATAGATGTTGAAGCATTGAAGAAAGAAATTCGTGAGCAAATTTTATCCGAACTGAAGGAACAAAAACCAGAACAAAAGCCAGAGAGACCAAAGAGAAAACTTAGTGAAAAACAACTTGCTGCATTAGCTGCTGGAAGACAAAAGAACCCACGTTTGCTGGCGAAAAAAGCTAGAGAAGAAGCAAAAGCAAAGGAAGAACAAAAAGCTAAAGAAGCTGAAGCAAAGAAAGAGTAAATGGTTTATTTTTATCCGAATTAAATGTATAGACAAATACCTTTATCTGTTGCGTTCAGTAGTGAAAACCCTGACGTCAAAATAAAGGGGAACAGAGTAACGTTTAAGTTTCCAACAGACTGGATTGTGAACATAAATGAAGAGAAGTACATTGGCATAACATCTATGTATATAACACGTGCTTTCAGAAAGGTTGACTTTATACTTCAAGTCGAGATAGAAAATGACGAACAGTCTTTAAGCGCCCAAAACATTCACATATACAAATACTTTAAGGATGATACAACATTGTTGCAATGTATGATTTCATTTAATGAGATGTTCGAGAAAAAGTTCAGCAATGAAGTACAAACTTTACAGCCTTTACGTGAGTTTCTTGCACAACTGAAAGAAGAAGGTAGTCAGCCACAACTTATAGACTTTCATTATGAATTTAATGAAAATGAAGATGGAACACATGACTGTCAGTTTGTTGTATTCTCACCATTCAATGAAGTCGCTAAAAAGAAAGAAAATCCATTACGTATAAGATTTCAAATCTCTGAACCCAATGAAGACTTCAAGAATGTTTTCAATTATGATGCAATGCTTCCGAGGAAAAATGAATTTTCAAAGATTGTAACACCCGGCATTTGGGATAGAAAGCAAGCTATATTATATTCAAACTTAAGTAAGGGAGTTGAAAATGAGTTCATTGGTCATACAAGAACATCACCACTTCCTAACCCTAAATACTATAAATTAACTGGCTTCAATCGTGAGTTTTGGATAGACATGTTCTCCACTCATGACCATAACTGCCCAGTGTTCTTACCTCCAGACCATAAGGACTGTCTCTACATTGAAGCACAACTCTTAAACTCTACCATCGCAGTATTGTAAATGACCACATGGGCTTCGCCCTTGCCGCTAGCGGCTTATTTTTATCATGAATGGTCTCATTGCTGACAAAAATAAATGACCTCAGAACTTCAACTTACGAATAAAGCTTGTTTTAGTCGTTATTGAGAAGTTAAACTTTTCAGCAAAGCAAGGACTAGAAGACTTACATAAGTCAAATCCAATCTCTTGACCGTCATAAAGTGCTTTGTAAAGTTTCATTAAACTGAACTCAGAGTCTTTGTCAAATTTTCCTTGCGGAACCATTAAACCTTTATCTTCATCATAGAAACACTGAACAGAGTCAGGAAACATTTCATTAGCGGTTAAAGCAATAACATCTTGCTTCACGCCTTTCATTCTGCAGTGAAATGCAACTTCATTTAAATCGTTAGTGAGTAAGTCTATGTAGGTCTTCTTTCCACAAAATATTGACTTGTATGCTAAACTTTGTTTTCCAGGTGTTATTTCTGCGAAGTCGCTATGAAATTGACCAAGGTTTTTACCAATGAGAACTCTTCCATAACGTTTCTCAAACTCTTCAGCTAAACGAGGGATATCTTCATTGTAGAGATGCATACTGTCGGTATCGCTATAAAAGATGTCCATTCCTAAGTCTTCAGCAGTACAGAATACTTCACACATTATTCTCTTCGACATAGATAGAATATTAACACCAAGTGGACAGAAGTTAAAGTGTCTGCAAATGCTTTTCGTTAGCTTGAAAATAGTTTTATCTGAACCATCCAAACCTTCGAACTTCACTATATGGTTGTAGTTTCTGATGGCATATCTTATAGCATCTTTGTCATCTACTATGGTTATTTTTGACTCAATAGGAGATAGAATAGTTTTGCCATAAATACTGTTCAGAATGAGCTTTATATTTTCTTGCAAAGGATTTCCTTCTTTCTTATACTTTAACCTTAACTCAAACAACTTCTTTACTTCATCTCTTATTCTAATATCTCTGTTTCCATCGTAATAGTATCCTTGCAACACTTCACATTTGACACCTTGATATTTTATGAGGTCTTGTAATGTTATATGGTCAACATACATTAAACAGCAAGTGTTTGAACTTCTGGGAACGTTAAGTTCTGGATTTAGTTCAGGGTCACAAACTATTAAAGGAAAGTGTCTATGTATTCCAATCTCTGTTATCTTAATGAGAACAAAGAAGCCAGACATAAACTTTTCACCAATGGGTTCCTTTTGGTCGTTTGAATAAATGTCTCATGAGATACTCTGTGCTTAACATCTCATCCTTCAATACTTTTGGAATTCCTTCTAAAGTATAAAGTCTTGCTATAGCGGATGGATATAATGAAACAGCGTCGAAATCAGCAATGAGTTTCTTTTCGCTCTTTTGTTTTCATGTTATCTGACAACATACATCTTCCACCTTGAATGCATCTCGAAATAAATTCTCTTGGTTTATTTGAGAGGTCATAAAGATTTCCATTCGGGAAGTATACTCTGTTCTCAAATAATTTGTTAGCAATTGAACAAATACTAACGTAGTCATAAACGTTTAAATCAAATTCTTTCAATATGTCATTGCGGAACTTAACAAAACCTTCTCTTAAAATTCTTACATCTTGTTTGCAATAAAATGTGCTATATTTTTCTAAGTCGAAGTGGTTTTCATCTATTCTGCAACCTTTGATGGAATCTATGTTTTTCATGAACGTATCTGCATCATGGATAAACTTACATGCTTCAGAAATGACACCAGTTCTGTTGTCATTTGCTAACAAAACACTGCTGTAGTAGTTGTATGGAAATACTTCTTTCGGTCCTGTTTGTAAGTTAAACATAGCAGGAAATAGTTTAAGCTTCTTATTTATAACACTGTAAGAGTCTTTTATAATAATTGCCCGTCCTTTATATAAACCAGTTATTTGCATTGTTCGTGAACCTTTAATGATGGGAGTTCCTTTCACTTCTGTCATGTGTCTTAAGATGAAGTTTATGTCATAACTGAGGTTATGGAAATATATTAAACTCTTGTCAGGAAGTCTTTCCAAAAATTCTGTTGCACAGTTTTGACCCCAAATACTTTCACTAACTGAACCATCTTCACTGTCATAACAGATGTTAAAAGCTTTATGAAAGCCGTCTGTGCTACACTCAAAGTCAGCAAAGAAAACGTGCTCAGGAATGAACTTACATTTAGCTTTATTTACTTCTTTTGACTCTGCTTTCTTCTTCAGTTGTACACAATACTTTGGAGCATATGTCAAATCTTTAAATGGTGCAAGGTTCTGTTTATATAAGTCAGTCGTATATGTGAAAAGTTCTCCATAAGAAATAGGTTCGAAATATTTGCACTCCCACAATGTTTTCATAACATCCCATAGCGGTGTAGTTCTATCATAACGAACTACATATTTATCTTCTCTCTTTGTATAAATCTTCATCTGTTTCTCAATGTTCATTCCACCACAAGCTTTGAGAATTTCTATATAGTTGCGAATGAAATATGTTGTCATTGGTAATCTTTCGTTTAGCATGTAGTGGTCTTCAACAAGAAGTAAGTCAATAGTTCTAACAGTTTCACATTCTTTTGGTATGTATCTCTTTATTTCATTATGTCTTGAGTCATTGAAATAACCAATGGTAACATTGAATGCTATACCTGTTGCGTCAGAAATTTCTTGTACTTTACTTTGTGGAAAGTCTCTAACACGAATGACTTCTCTCATGTGGTCAATAGTCTCTCCATCTACTTCAGCCTGAATGCAAGCATAAACGAAACAATTGTCTTCTGTCATAAGTGTTGCAGTTCTTTTGTTCATTCATTGAAGATTTGGTAGCGTTCAAGATTTATAGGTAATGTGCAAAGATACTTCCAGAACTGACCGCTTCTCTTCTTATAAAACTTCTTTCACCATTATCTTTTCCAAAGCTTTCTATAAGTGCTGGGTTTCCTGTTTGCTTAAGAGCTTCCAAAATGGCTTTCTGGTCATTTGTCAGTGTGCTTTCATCTCTATATGGTCTCTTTTTTGGTTTGCCTTTCTTTACATCTGACATCGTTAAGCCTTCATATTCTGTTAAAATCATACATCTTTATTTCGGTAAGATTCTTTATGTTTGTCAAGAAGAAGTCATAGTGCATTTCAACAATACCTGCAGCATTTGCTTCTATCTCTGATATAAAGTTCTCCTTCAAGAGCTGATGTAGTAGTGTTCCAATATTATTGAGGTTTAACGTAGAACATTCATACTTTCCACCAAGTTTATAACATACCATCCATCTCTGTTGCGAGTTTATTTTAATCTTTCTCTAAGAGTCTCATGAAAACCTTACCGAAATGTTTGTGTAAGTAGTCTCTGTTTGGTTCATC